TATATTAAGCTAGATTTAGATATTTGTTTTTTATATTTTTCATATGTTTTATCTTTTCACATTTTTTATATCAAATTTGTTTTGCTAGATTAATCAAAAATTTGCTATATTCTTATTAGTTATATAGAATTTTTACATGTTTTTATTGGTTAAATTGGTTTATAATTACGTGATCTGATATCTTTTTTTGTCATGACTAGAGTTCTTTGTATTTTCAGAAACAAAATTCCTTTAGCATAATAAAATTTCATAATAGTTTTGAATTAGACTAATTTTTTCATATTTAATTGCTATTATTATATATGATCTAGTGCAAAAATATTCATATCTCAAATAGTCATTAATAAATTATTTTTTAAAATAAAATTTTAATTCTGTCTCATTTAATTAAGTCATTAATATTAAAATTTATTTTAATATATATATTTTAATTATATATATTTCATAAAAAAATTTTTACTAGTAATAACTTTTTTGAATTTTTATCTCATAAATTTTGCTATATAAAATTTGATTAAAATTAACAGTAAACATATATAGTAAATAATTTAATTGTTAAATTTCAAGATTTAATTTCACAATAACTACTGATTCAATCTTTATGAAATTTAAAATATATTTTTATCAAATTTATAGCAATATGCTTGCATAATTTGAAGTTCTAATATAGCAAATTGATAAAAATAATGCTTAAAATGTATTTTTTTAAATAAAATAATTTTTTATTTTGTTTTTTTAGAAAAGTATTGCATTATTTATTCTTGAATAAAAGTTCAAAAGAATAATATAAATAGTTAGTTTAGGTTATTTTTTATTTAATGTAAAAAAAATTATAGAAATTAGTTAAATTCTGAATGACTTTTATTAGAAGCAATTATTAATTTTTATTTTGAGATTCAAATCTTTTTGCACCGGATCATACTGTATATTAACAAAGTTTTTATCCATTGCTCTCCAATCTGTAATTTCGCTTGGCGTTAGCAAATCGACATAATTTTTTGACCAAATTTACATTTCGCAACTTGATTTTAAAGCGGTCAGCACTCCCTACAATTACGTTATCCATGGAGATATAATTGTCAAATAACATCAAGAGTTTATCTTTAATTTGCTAGGTATCTATAATGCAAACAAATACAGTCAGGGCGATTTAACGACTATGTGATTTAACGATATTGGCCATACCAATATTACTTAATTTTTGTCCCAATAATAAGAAAAAGCATCACGATTAACGCAGTTTAAATTGTTCTTGAAATGACGGTGTATTGCATTGTCTTTTTTCAATATGTGTCTTAAGTTCTTTCTTTCGTAAAGGATTTGGAAATTCCAACTTCTACGAAACGTCAAAGAACACACTTAATAATTAATTCGTTAAGAGGTTTTTTGTTATTATATGATATTTAAGACTCAAATTATTTTTTATAAAACTAAATTAGTTTAGATATTTTTTAATTAGACGTTTGATTTTTTAACGTCCCCCCCCCCCCAAACATCAAGTAACCTCCCCGAACATTAAACAACCAGGATTAAATATTATATGCAAATTTTTATCCAATTGAAACTTAATATTAAATGCTGTGCTAGAATACTAAGATTTTTCTTAAAAAGGAGGCAATCAATATATTAGTCAAGATCAATGAATTGGGTTTCCAAGACTACAATGATATTTTCATTTGTAACAGTGACAACGCTGGATGTTTGTTATTATTGCGATGAATCAGAACTTGAAGAAATGTCTGCTGCTTGGAAAAACATATACCCTTTATTTGTTTATTACAGATAATTGAAAAACATGGCGGGAGGACCAATTAAGTTTAATTCTAATAAGAAAGAGGAATGTACATATAGATGAAATGGAGTAACCGTAGTTGATTTGTATTACCGTTACATAAAATATAGATGATAATGATAACTTTATTAACTCGTCATTTGTTCTTAAAAGTACATGTATAGGAAAATTCAATAACCAATAAAATTGCAGTGTTTATTTTTTACCCTGTCCCCCCCCCCCCCCCACGACACCTCAATTTTTTCAAAAAAAGGACGTTAACAATGATTCAATTTCAAACAGCCTTAGTACGGTATATTAAATATCGATGTAATTCTTTCAAAAAACCGATTCCACGTGGTTTTTATTTAGCCTATCGTTATATCTGACTTGACGATCTTTAAATCAGCGATACAAATTTCTAAATACATGTATTCCATACAATATATATTAAATCAAATTGGATGGTAGTGTTGTAGTGTTTGCAACTGAAATTCAGATTGTTTAACTGCAATCTGATTGGTCGATATTTCAGTTGCAAACACTACCTTTTATGAGCACATACATGTAACGGTATCTTGATCTTACACAAGGTTTAAACGTTTTTCAAAATACTGAAGACAAAATCGATAGAATATTCGATTTGATGTTGTGCAATTCATCGTATTTTATAAAATCATTGTCAAGTTCTGCATAATCTTGCATATGTTTCAGCGATTTGGATGTTCTATAGAATATACGTACAGCATACGCATTCATAAAAAAGACTTTTATGATATTCGAAAAGAGGATATTTTGCAATGATTTCATACGTAATGCAATTAATTGTCTTGATGAAATAATATATAGCATGTATACCTACTGTGGACACATTTTATGTTACGCAGAGGAATAGAGCAACAGCACCCGGGTATTTACGAAGTTTAGTAACAAAAAAGAAAAATAGGAGAGGACGTGTACTCTACATGCATCAAGGGATACTAGATACTGTGTACAGTGCTTTACGATAATAAAACTTCCCATTCGCATTAATAATTATTACTGTGTGCTTACTTAACGATATCACAATCGTAATGTAATAAAATGTTTGTATCTCATTTATTTATCCCGCGTAATTCTGTGCATCAACTCAACAAGTTTTCAATTACAGCACTCACTCTCTATTCGTATTTTTATTGAAAAAGTTTTTTTTATGAAAGAATTTACCAAGTGGCCAAAATAAAACTATTCGATGATGAGTGAGTGTATAAAAAGTATTTTGAAACTTGGCAATGACGGCGTTAGTTTAAAAACGAATAATTTATTGCATCTAAATTTAAAAGGTGCAACATTAATGGAAACACGGACAATAAAGATATATTTGGTATGATTCCTTATCGTTATGTTTACGAACACAATGCATTATTCTCTTTTGAAGAAGTTATACCTCGGACAAATATCTCGGACATTTCTCTAGTTTAGACAAGAACATCACGTTCCGATGTGACATTCAAATTAACCTGATAATGCAAAGTTGTTTTCATTAAATGACCGCATATATAATTGATTCATATTTCTCGGATCAGGGGAATATATAGCAATTTTTTTTTATTCAACACATAGCTTTGGAGATCCATAAACGAAAATCTACGAAACGTCTATCGCTATGCACCAAATGCATGAGATCTAAGCAGTTTAAATACGTTCATGGAGAAAAGAATCTTTACGAATACATAAATAGAAAACAATCAATCCAAAGTTCCGAAACCCACCGTAACGGTAAATAAAAACGCAAGGATTTATTCTGCTATTTGGTACATGTAGATATGTATATAAAAGTCAGATGCGTTCAGCAATGCAAGATTACGCAATCGTTACGAATGACACTGCAGATTTGGTTAAAATGATTGTGAAGATTTTTAATAAAAGTTCTTTTGAATTTAAAACATCAAGAGACTAATCAAATTCGTTAAACTCTATCCTTAATGGATCTTTATCAGAAAAATGCATAGAAAAAGCTACTATTGACAGGTCCCGAGATCTGGTGAAAGGAACTTTAATGATTTAAACTTAAAAAATTAACGTTACTATAAAATGAACACAGGAAAATCAAAAGTTTATGCAATTAATTAAAAGTCAAGTTCACTCAAAGATCGAACTTTATCGACAATAGTTTGAACGAATTCAAATTTCTCCTTTTTGTGTGCGGTACATGTACGCATATATGATACATGTACGTAGAACAAAACGGAAAATACCATACGTAAATTAAAAAATCTTGCATGTTTTCAAACCTTAAAGTGACTAGCGTCAGAGACGAATGAAAGCTCTCTTCGATTTTCATCAATCAAAACTTGTCATCTGTGCGAGAAAACAATAAAGTACCAGCTAACAAAGCTGCTTGTGAGGGAACAACTCGACTGTATAATAATAAACTCGTGGTGGGCGAAAATATCAATCAATATAAGGAAATTGATATATCGATATTGATATATTGTGTTTGTGCGTGCATCATACGTAGTAAAGTTGCATATTACTGTTTACCGTTACTAATTTTTTTTTTCTCGTAGAAATAAGGAGTGAGTGGGCACATTGTAAAATAACTTGGATTCCTACCTTTATTTAGAAAGTTGTTGATATTTTCTTCTACACTCCTTTTCAAACATAGTAAGGATAAGTAAAATACCTTGCTGAAATCTCCAAAACATTGTGTTTTGACTCGCACCTGGACGAAATCGATCGATATTTGCAAAAGAATTCTTCCTAAAAAGAAAATGGGCAACTCGAAATCTAAAATGAGAAAAGAGCGTCGTCTAAGCGACGACGAAGCAAGAACACAAGAAGAAACACATTCGAATCAAGATCTGTATCTACCACAAAAAAAAAATGAAGTGGAACGTCTACAATCCATGCACTTCTTGTTTATACATATTTTCGAATGTCGGTTTTTGCCACCAATCGAGAATAAATTAAAAGACGGAGCATTTGTGCTAGATATTGGGTATTTCTTATATTCACCCGTTTGAAACGTTTCTTTGGCTATGAATTAATTTATATTGTTCATAAAAGATGTGGACCAGGTACATGGATACTGGACATGGCTTCTCATTATCCTTGCTCAGAATTCTATGGATTCGATATTCATGTAGTTTTTCCATCTCAGATTCGACCACCTAATACGCATTTCAAACAAGCCAATGCTCTCGATGGGCTAGCATTTGATAATGACTCTTTTGATTTGGTTCGAATGAGTTCGATGTTGATTTCTTTTGATGAACAACAATATCTTGGAGTACTCCGTGACTCATTTCGGTATTATTCAATTTCATACAATTGAGATTGATAATCCAATTAATGTAATGATGATATATATTAACAAATCATCTCACACAGGATTCTTAAGCCAGGTGGATACATTGAACTAATAGAATCCGAAATACCTTTGGTAAATGAAGGTCCAATATTTCAAAAACTTCTGGACTCATGTAAATATATATTTCATTCGTTTCAGCCCCCGCTTAAATAAATATCTTCACTAACTCCCTTATTTTCTTATGTATTATTTCAAGTCGAAAGTCTATTATCAAGCAAAGGCATAGACATCCGACTGGCACAAAAACTCGAATCACTAGTATCCTCAATCGATGGCTTTACAAGTATACAAACCGACCGACGCATAACAATGCTAAATGAACCGGAGGGCGGGATCTCTGGAAAACTACTCATGCAAACTATCGACGAATTCTTTCAGAGTTCAGTGGCGAGTGGGTTTGCTGCTGGTCTGGGACTCAGCCTTGAAGAGTACATGAAACATTGGCAAGTTTGTAAGGATGAGATTGTGACTCATGGGACTGGGTTGGCATTGAGGAAAGTTTGTGCCCAAAAGAGATTTTGATTTCTTTGTATTTCTTTATATTCAGTATATATCTATGCATTTTATGGTTTCTTTTAAGTCATGCATTTTCAATTTTTCGCAAAGAGAAAATGAATTATTAACAACTACGAGATAATCATCAACAATTCTTCTAAGCATAAGTTCGTTCATCTGCAAAAATTTGTTTCTTAATTCGAGAGTTTAACAATGTTAATGAATATAGTATCAACTTACGAGTATTGTCGCATACCAAAATAATCCATTTTTAAATTCAAGTTCTTATATACAGTCAAGTCTCTCGATAAGCATACCCTTTATAATCTCCCGATTTGACTTTTTCAAGAGAGACAAGTATAAAGACTTGACTGTAAACTGTGTACAAATGGGTCTTGTTATGACGACACTTTGGTTCCATTAGTAAATTGTCGTTATACATTATCCTGTTATATCGAGTGGGATTTATATGCCAACTAATAATCGGTGACTGATAGTAATGTCATATTGCTATTTTATTATGATATCGTCATAATGGGGCTCACGTGTTAAAAAGTTGAACATAGGGTGCCATCTAACATCCTGACAACCACAATCCCAACACACCATAACCCGACAAACGAAATTTTAATAGCCCACGAGAGTGCCCACCTTTTTCCAGCTGCCAAATTACACCTAAATAAAGAATGAAGGCGGGTCATAAGAGTCCTGCTTGACAAAAAAGGTTATCAAAAAAAAATAAAAAAAAGTTGGAATCTCGAATACCGACATTCCGAAACCCAACATCCCGATGTTCAAAATCCCGAAAATCCAATATCCCGAAAACTTAACATCCCGACGGTTCAAAATTCTAACACTTAAAATTTATTGGTTACTCTGATCCACTTCTGTTAACGTTATTGCATGATAGAATTGACGCACGAAAATAATACGCGATCGTTAGCGTTAACATTAGTGATTAATAGCTTCGTTATATGACTGCCATTTTATTTTGTTATCCAATTTATTAAATATCACATAAGAAGAAAGTCTCCATAATAAGAAATGAAACTAAAATTCCAGAAGAACATCCATCACTGAACAGTTTGTTCGATATTCATAATTCTTTCCTCTGTCAATTAGGTATTTTTTTGCTTTGGATGGTATAACTTCTAACATGTACTTGATCCATTAAATTTTCCCGATGGCAATGTCAAGCTTCTACAATATTTTGTGTTCAAGGTATTTCCAATCAAATTACTGTACCACCTCATTTGCCTCTAAAGACATTTTTAATTTTAAGAGATCAAATGCCAGAGGAATTCCAATTCACAATTTTGTATTTTTCACCAATCACTTTTTGTTCTAAATTAAAAAAACATCACTTATTACTAACACCAGGAAACTCATTATATAATACATTAATAGCTGCCTGTTCAAAGTCAAAGTCTGTAAGAATTCATTTTCTTCATCATAATTGATTAAATAAAGTTTCTTATACTTGCTAATCATTAACATATATACCAGTGAAAGATTCTAAAATTATTTTCTCTATCAACAGGTGCATGAATAGTACACACCCCTACAATATATTACCGGAAATTTCAAAAATGAATCTGTCACTTTGGAATCCGATATCTCAACATCCAGTGATCCCATTCGAACAAAGATATCACCATTAGATTCACCTCGACTATACGAATCTAATGGTGATATCTTTGTTCGAATGGGATCACTGGATGTTGAGATATCGGGTTCCAAAGTGACAGATTCATTTTTGAAATTTCCGGTAATATATTGTAGGGGTGTGTATAATTAATAGAAAAACTGTTGGAACTGTTAGGGCTCCGAAATTTACCGAACTGTTATTTTACCGAGATTTTTGGTAACGGTTCGGTAATTACCGACATCTTCTAATTACCGATCGGTAATTACCGACGGTAATTCGGTAATGGTGATATCAATACATGTATAAAATTTAATTCGTGAAATTTGAACGTAAAATCGACCACAATGTAAAGTTTTAACATACTAGCTGCTAATAATTAAAAATATTTGCTAGGTTCTATTCTATGTATAGGTAAAGTTTCATAAATTTTTGCACATTGCTTCACGAGGTATATCCGAAACGCAAATAAATCGCTTTAATGCATTGTAGCAATTTATTTACGTTTCGCATAATCTATCATGAAGCAATGTGCAAAATTTTATTTATTTTTAATTATTAGCATTTAGTGTGTTAAAACTTGACATTATGGTCGATTTTACTTCAAATTTTGCGAATAATATTTTGGCAAATTCAGAAATCTTTCAAACACTTGATTAATCAATGATTAACGTTAACGTTAACCAGTCCAGGGTATTGATCAACATTTCGGTAAACCTTCGGTAATTACCGAAATTTACCGAACCGATTGGTTTACTGACCGATCGGTAACGGTTTTTTACCGAATCGTTCGGAGCCCTAGAAACTGTTTTGACATTCATGATCCAAAATAATATTTTAAATATTTGTTCTGTTAATAAATTAAAGAATGCTCTCTTGACCAATCATATCTTTTACAAAAAATAAGTCATCACCCAAAGTAGAATAAAGTGAAACTGGAATGTTGATTTCATCAAGACTTTGTGATTGTGACTCTTCTAACACATTAATTCTCACACTTAGAGCATCATGTGATAACAAATAGGGATGAATTTCTTCTAAAATATTGTTTTGAATGATTTGTACAATCTTGAACTTGTTACCTGATATAAGCAACTGCTTTTGCAACTTTAGCACTGCTAGCTTGAAGTGGGTGGCTATGATCAACAAATTTTCAAAGATAATGCAATCCGTTAAGAAAATTTGTTGTTGCTTGACCTTTGCAATTTTTTGATTTTCTTTTTTCACAACACCAATAAAATGTATTCTCCAAATTTCATTCTTTTACCATCAAATAATTGATTTATCATTTCCTCCTCGTTGAGAAGGCACAATTTCACAAATTTCGTTCTACAAACAAGCCTTCACAATTTAGAGATTCACAGCATCAATCGACTTGATATGTACACATATCTAGAGCAGTGTATGAACATAGACAGAGTATGTAAAGCTAGTGTGTTAAACATTATTCCCACGATCTGTGCACATGATGATCATTATTTTACAATAGCGATAGCCGTTAGTATCCTGGCCAACACATAACGATAAAACGTGGTACAGATTAGGGCTCCGAACGATTCGGTTACCGATCGGTCAGTAAACCGATCGGTTCGGTAAATTTCGGTAACGGTAATTACCGACGGTTTACCGAAATGTTGATCAATGAAACAATACACTGATTAACGTTAACATTAACGTTAATCATTGATTAATCAAGGGTTTGAATTTGCCAAAATATTATTCGTGAAATTGAAGTAAAATCGACCATAATGTCAAGTTTTAATACACTAAATGCTAATAATTAAAAATATATGAAATTTTACACATTGCTTCACGAGATATTATGCGAAACGTAAATAAATTGCTACAATGCATTAAAGCGATTTATTTGCGTTTCGGATAATATCTCGTGAAGCAATGTGCAAAAATTTATGTAGTTTTACCTATACGTAGAATAGAACCCAATGAATATTTTAATTAATAGCAGTAGTGTGTTAATGCTTGACATGATGGTCGATTTTACGTTCAAATCTCACGAATTATATTTTATACATGTGATATTGTGTTAATATCACAATTACCGAAGTTTACCGAAAATCTCGGTAAAATAACGCTTCGGTAAATTTCGGAGCCCTAGTACAGATTCTAAAAGAATCATGGTAAAAAATATAACAGGTTAGGGTTCAGGAGATGCGATATATAGAGTGTACGTATATAGCAAAAAAAAAACTGTACTTACGTACTAACATTTTATTACCCATACCATACTTTACTTCTACCGTATATTTTATCGTAGGACTCGAAATTTTAACATTTTGGGATTTTGAAATGTTGGGATGTTAAGTTTTCGAAATGTTGGGTTTTCGGGATGTTGGATTTTCGGGATTTCGTTTATCGGAAATATCAGCTGTCGGAAATGTGGTTTTCGGGATGTCGTACCAGACCCATAAATATTATTATTGTCCTTTTTAGGAAAATTGAGCGATTTTGTTAATTAGTAAATTTTGACGCTCCCAATTTCCGTTTTGGTCGTCAATGTTACATACAATTTAATTATTAACTACGTAATTTATTTCTCGACGACCAAAGCGCTGATTTAGCTGGAAATTGATATGTGTATATTTTTCATAGAAGCGAACATTTTTTATTAACAGAATTTTTCCGGGATTTGCCTTGGGAGAAATTTATTTAGTATCCAAATTTCACTGATTAAAAAATCGTGTAGATCACTTAGTTTTCCTAGCACTATAAACTATCGCTATGTTGCGTTAGAATTTTTTTTCCGATCGTTGATCTTGTGGTTGTTGAATTACCCGGCAAAGCCGGATCTTCCAAAAGTCACGGGACCGCCGCTCATTTTGCCATTGGAACGAGCATACATTTACACAGTGAAACTCGATATAGCGGAATCATCCGTTCCATTAGTGAAGATGTTCAAAAAACTGTTATGTCGAGTTTTAATTAAGGATTCCGTTATATCGAGGAGGATTTATTCTGAAGATAGGGATTGCAATTAAAGTTGCGAGAGTACCAATTTCGACTCCAAAGAAGTTGAGAAATTATTTCAAATGGTGTCCTAAGCTAGCTGGTAAGCATTGGCTTTAAACCGACCTCAGTTAGCTGATGTTTTTGAAAACTGGCTCAGCCGGCTATACATTTTGCTTGCTAAATTAATAATTAATATAAATTTTATATCCGGTAGAAGATAATACATGTAATATAAATCTTGTTACAACAAATAACGCTTTTTTCTGTACATGTATTAGTGAAACACTATCAAACAACATTGGCCATGTGGATGCGAAAAATCATTAAGATAAGAGAATGCTGAGCCATCTTATAAAAAACAAGCCAAGTCATGGAACACGAATTGCAAATTTCGATCAAAAATGAACTATTTTCT